CGCCAAGTACTACCAGGGATCCTATGACCTTGGCAACGTGTGCTACACCAAATACCTCAAGACCATACTGGAGCCCGAGGTATTCCGAAATATGTTCGGAGATGATCCCTCGGAGGAACGGGTAGGTGATATGGTGGAAGCGCTGCTGGGCATGTTAGAAGTTGCTCAACTCTTCAAACACCTGTTCGTAGGATGGGGTGACATTGAGGCTTTGAGGACGGGATTAGAAGAATCCATCAAGCGCGTCACTGCATCGCTGTACGACAGGACAACGTATGAGAACCGAAAGCGATCGATGATCAGAACATTGGACCCGCACTCTGAAGAGGCGGCAAACGTGGCACTGATTCTCGTTCGCATGAGGACCATGCCGCCTCCTGAATTCGATATCGACCACTCCTTCGAAATTGGGAAAGAACCAGAACAGGGAGCAGAAGCTACTGACCAGCCCGAGGCCGAAGGTGTCGATATGGAAACTGAGGGTGAGCAGGAGAGGGAGGAGCAAGACGTTGACATGTCCGATCCGAAGACATCAATACTGCAAGCCATCGACGAGTTCGAGAAGAAGATCGGGCAAGCAGAATTCTGCATCCACTGCATGAAGTCGGGACACACAACTCTCAATTGCGAGAAGATCCCTTCATCTTCACCCACAGTCACCTCAGTGCTGAGCGATTGGAAAAAGAGAGTGAAGGGAGAGGTTGCACCCGACGATGTACCATCCGGACATCCAGCAGAGGAGCCTAAGAAGAAGAAGCAGAGAGCATCGCCTACTCCAGATAGGAAGGTCGACAGCGAGTTCAGGCGAAAAGAAATGTTGAAAGCAAGAGTCGTGACAATGTTTGACCATGACGGGTTCACCTTGATTGAAAGTGCCGATGGAGTCGAAGGAGGGACACATTCCTACAATGGGCGGAAGCTTGCGGAAGTTGGCCCTAGGGATATGAGGGTGGTGTATGAGTTTGTTGAGAGGGCATTTGTGCACTCCAGCTCCCTCAAACCAAAGGCATGTCATCAATTCTACCCCCTACCGACAAGGAGGGAGAAGGGATACAAGCCGATCGACCCCATGACGATGATCGGGAAAGTTGAGCTAGTACCGATCAACGGAGTCACTTTCGCTGCACAGAACTCCGACTACGGCAACCTCAAGTATCCGACCCCAGACTGTCGAGTACCTGAATACAGCCAAGCGAGTCAGGCCCTGAGTCGCCGATTGGGAGCGAAGTTGAGGCATCGAATTGGACGCCAGTTCAGGACAGGAGGAAGACTCACTCCAATCAAATGCGATGAAGGCGCATGGGTGTCATGGGAAGACCTATTAGGTGATAACGCAGTTTGGGAAGACGGTTATCACTATGGCAACATTGACATCGTGACCAAGAAGGCGCGTTTGGAGAAGTACCTCGACCAGAACTATGAGTGTTTCCGCATAACCAAGAGGATCAGATTCCAAATGTTGGCAGTTCGCGTTCACCCTGATGAACTCAATGATCCTGATGATCCGATGGAGAAGGAATGGATTGACGAGCTCAAGGGCATGGGAATCTCCAAAGGAAGACTCCACAATAGCGATGGATGGTGCTTTCCCGTGGCTGTAAGAGCAACCTCAGCACACTCGTCGGACGGTGGAGGTTATGACGTTACCATCAACATCGACCACATTGGATCGAGAATGACCAACGACATGGCCCTATCCATGGTGACTGCATTTCACGCTACCAATCTTGGAGCGCTGACTTCAATCATGCGACGGGGCCTAGTGCCAGGAGGTCTCGGCACATCGGGAAGGGATTCTATCCACTTCACATGTTTTCCGCCATGGGCCTGGGAGCAGGGCTACAAGGGAAAACCTTGGCTGGGTCGTAAGGTCGCATTGAGTGATCGCCCGGTGGTTCTCTACATTCCGGTGTCGAAACTGCAGGAGTACGGGCTTCTCATCTCAGCGACTGGATCTCTATTGGTTGAGGACGTCGTTCCCTTCGATGAGGTTAAAGGGGCATGGTTGCAATGCGACAATGCAGAACCCGGACAGCCTGAGGAAATCGAATGGATCAGGTTACTCAATAGAGAACCCGACCCTGGAAGCTACCTTGTTCTGGAGTCCAAATACGGAAACCCGACCATGACTCCACGCTATCAAAAGCTTGAGAGCTTAGCGATTGAAGTCCAGGATGATACTTACTCCGAGGACGACGCCAAAATCACAAAGCTGCTGAGCATGGTCGAGGAGAGCGGTGTCTACCCAGAGTATGATAGCACCGAATGGCAGGAAATCTTTGAGGAGATCGTGTACCGCCGAGCAATGAAAGACTATGACTCAAGACCGTGTCCCAACTGTCTTGGCGAAGTCGATGTGCGATTGACGATATGTCCGCACTGCGTGGCGGTTCTGATCGCAAATGGGAAGCTCACGCATGTGGTACCCAAGGAGACAAGGGACCGCAATCAACGATCACCTCCGAGAGACGTGCCAGCCAGTTCTTCCGGTGAAGCAACTTCTTCTGCAGGCGCAAACATCGATGAAGTCATCAAGAATGCACGCAAGACAGCCGAAGAAGTCATTGACGTCGAGGAGTCCGAAGGTGAGGAAGACGAGGAAGTTCCTATCATCATGAAGGAACGACCGGACGAAGCCGAAGGCGAACCCGAATATCGGGAGGTCCCTCAAGATGGGTACGGGAATGAACTTCCACAGCCTTTCCCCTTCGCAATTGACGAATTGCCGCAAGAAGCTGCGATCCCCATCGACCACAACTTTGCAGTCACACAGCAATTTGATCTGAGGTTGATGAAGTTGATCAAGAGCTTGGCCAACGCAACGTTCGACATCAATTGCTTTGAGAGTCGTGAAGACGTACTGCGAAAGTTCGACGAGGGACAGCGGCATGATACTCCATTCAATAGATGGCCATTAGTACCGAATGATCCGGATACTGGATTTCCAAGACGCCTTCAGAGAGCCGAAGTCATAGGCATGAGCAAATGGACCAACGACACGTATGCAACAGAAGCGTGGCAGATCTATGAATTTCATGCCCACGTCATTCACCCGATGATGATCACTGCAATCCGCTGCGGGCTTAGCCACAAGTATCTCAAAGAGGTCGGCAGCACCCGGCGTAACATGAGTGATCCGAAGGCTCAAAGATCTGAGACCCAGGAAGAGATCATCGAGAAACTGGCATTCATCTCAAATTTCATCAGACGCTTGATTAAGAAGACTTTCGGAGCGAGCCGATATAGTTACTACCAGAAACCAGACGATGAAGGTGCCGCTCCATACAAATTCATCGACATTAGCCCCGCCATCAAGTCAGAGCGGAAGAATGTCACAAAGGAGATCCTCGTTGCATGCCGCTATTACGGCATAGAGGTATCCGATACTCAAACGCAGAAGTTGAAGTCCTTCGAGGAGCAGATCCGGAGGGGAAACCCAAGGAATGTTGAGCTCATCAAGGACTACATTGGCTTTGTCGGAGCTGACTACATGCGACAACTCACGAATGGTTGAGCATCGGGGTCATACCGACATACTACTTCCGGTACTTCAAGTACTGAGGGATCTTGGGTAATTCATGATGACCATTTTGGCATCATGGGAGTGAAATAGGATTGTGTTTCACACCGTCGGTAATCGCAGGATACCATAGGTAGATGCACGTTTTCCGTTTGTAGCTCCGTTACCTGTTTGACCCAACTTTCAAGCGAATGCAAGATCGTTTGCTAATTCAGATCAATAGGACATACTGGTTGACCTCCAATACACTTTTGAGAACATGATTCGTTCTCCGGTTTTTACATCCACTCATCTCCCTTCCCCGTCGAAGCACGGATGTGGGGGGTGTCAATAGAGATGAGGTCTCAGTATAGCTTCTATATAGGTACTTGCCATACCATTTTGGCTCAAGTGCCCGACCAGGTAAAAAGGAGCTTTAGCGCGCGAGCTTCATGTTGAACTAAGGGCTAGAACGGGGCCAGGGCACGCTTTTCATCCGTTCGCATATATATATAATATATATATATATGCGTTGTATGCATATACACCAACTGTTTTTTGCTTTTATTCTGTTGTGCTCATGGAGGTGGTTCAGCTGCTTCATTTGTTCGAGGAGGTGGGAAACTGCGGAAACATTGAGGTGGTCACAGGCGAATCGCCTTCGGCTAAAGCGACCGAATACGTTTGTCAGTGCCAGGAGAGAAACACGAATTGCCAGAGCCGCATCAGCAGGCATTGCGAGTATCCTATGACCTGGCTGAGCAATCCAATCCACAGCTTGATGCAAAGGTGTGACTGAGTTCACATACACCAATGTCCTGGTGGAGGATGGGTGAAGAGTTTGCAGTTTTGAGCATTTCAGTTTGCCCACTGCTTAGCATTTGATCAGGACACAGAGCCGGGTATTTCTATCCACGACATCACAGAGAAAGTGCGGGCATGTGTGAAAGCTCATTTCGCAAGCCGCAGGCCTTGTATTTTTGATGAGTTGCAGGCATTGTATCCCTGTGGATGGCCATTGATGGATGTACAATATATGTTTTGAGCGCGGGCCATGTGCTTGTTAACACGCCCACTCACATACACGCCATGCCATGAAGAGACGACCACCACCTGTCACAGAGCGCAGTCGATCATGGTGCTGAGACTCACTGAGGGCAAACTTGGAAAGAGCACGGTGGACTAGCAACCGGTTTGAAGTTACTTTTGTGCTGTGGAAACTGCAAGTAGGTCCAACCAGCGAGACGGTGTCGTGCACCTTCTCTCCCGCCACACTACAACAGCAGTGTCCATCAACGAGGACGAAACAAGGCTGCGGCAGGACAGTAGCTTGCTTTTCCAATTTCACTCTGGGTATTGGATGACCCGCATTTTAGTGTGTGAAGCTCGTCAAAGGTGTAGTGATTTGTGGTGCAATTTGCACGACTTTGTGGCTCAAGCCAGGCTTTTCCCATAGAGTAGACAAGCCGATTTTGGTGCCATGACTGGCATAACTGCACCCATGGTGCAGCCAGCTGATCTTGCGAAACAGCTGCAGCAGCGAGTGACAATGTTCCATGCTGGAGACGAGCTTTATTCTGGTGCATGGCTGGCAGATTTCCAGAAATCAGGATTAACAGCTTGGCATGTTTGCACAGAAAAACTACGGGTCGGGCCCTTGAAAAGTTGTGATGAAGAGCTCTTGCAAGCCTTTTGTGCTCAAACCTTGGCTCGCCTTGCGCGAACTTTTGCAAGCCATTTTGATCCCAACTCGCAAAAAGCAGCGCGAGATACGTTGGAGGCTCTGCTGGCGGTGCATGCCTGTGGTCAGGCATTGGTGTGGAAGCAACTGGCATTGGCGCTTGCATGCGCAGAGCTTTGGTTGGGCACTTGGGCGGCAGCCGCTTCTTTGAACACAACCCTTCCAGGAAATGTACGTCGTGAGCTCTTGGTGCTTCCGGCAGAGCTTTTGTTTGACTCAAAAGCACTCCCTTTGACAGATCGTGCAGCCCGACAATCCGTTGCCACCTCCCTCTTCAGCTCATGTGATGGAGTTTTTGCATTTCTTTTGGAAGCTCAATCTGATGCTGAACAGTGCTTGCGGATCTTGAGTGCCTGGCTGCGAGCTGTGCGCAAAGCCCAGCTTTGGCTTCCAACCTGTGATACTGCACAACCATTGAGGCATTTAGCTGCTCACCTTCCAGTGCTGTTGGCAGCCGCCGAAGCAGCCCCAGTTCAAGCAGCGGAGCTGGCTCAACAGCTGGCAAAGTGGAAGAGTGCACCACAGGAGGCCGCGGGGATATTGAAGCCGCTACTTCAGCAGATCATGAAAGACAGTACCGGGATGGAGGTTTTTCAGCTGCCTGATGGGTCTTCAATGTGGCTTCTGCCGCTGTTGCAAGACCTTGCTGAGGATTTCTGGCCTAGGTCCGCGGTAGGCGATCTTGATCTGGATTGCGAAGCCATTTCAAAGCAAGCCTTCAGTTTGCTGGACGTCACTGCTGCGTGGGAAAGTGGGATAAATGGGCTAGTGGACAAGGTGGATGTGGAGGCATCGATATCTGTTTGGCACACCTTTGCTGATACGATTCATTCAGCCATTCGTGCCTCAGAGTCCTTCTGCAGTGCCAGCCGCTCATACTCGCCAACGTTCTCACATCCTGAGAAAAGAAGTCGTCGAAGCCAAGAAAGATGGCACTTGACGAGCGAACGTTTGGGACAAGCGCAGATGGTGATTGTGCTTTTCCAGCTCTTGGTGCAGAAATTGCTGAATTGCATGAGACTTCCCGAAATCCCTGAGGATGAGGAGGCACTTGAAAGCCTTCAACTTGCAAGAGAAACAGTTGAAGCTGCATTACGTCCGTGGGCGGCACTGCTTAGCAATGCAGATACATGGATGGCAGAGCTCTGGGGTCCTCTGCAGGAGCTGGAAAAGAGGCTGGTGGCAATGACAGAGCAGGACGAAGGCTTCATGTCCGTGGAGCTCGCCAGAGATGTGGAAGCAGTGATTTGGTTTTTCGGTGCATTCTGCAGCTGTTTACCAGAGGGACAGACTACAGCTGCTCAAGCAGCCTCTCAAGCTGTTTCAACCTTGATTCCTCAATTACATCAGTTGGACTCAGCTTTGCCACCATGGACAGCTTTACTTTGGTCTTCGGTCTGTCGCTTTGGTGCTGCGGTGAATTCGAAGCTGCCAGCCGGGATGGAACCAATTCTGTTAGAGTGGATGCTAGACCGCCCTCCCGCAAATGCTGGAGCTCCGGAAATGTTGGAAGTTACAGAGCTGCCCTATGCGAAAGCCCTAGAGGTAGCTTGCCAACGCTTGCCCGACACTGCGGCCAACAGCATCATTGGAGAGAAGCTCAGTATGCTCGCCTTCGGCTCCTGGGATCCTTCAGCAATGATCGAAGAGAGAACCTTGCAGGCGAAAGCTTTGTACCTCTCCGCTCTTAGGTGGACTATGGCTTTTTCACCGGAAGTTCTTTGTCAAAGCTTGGTGAGCAAAGTCGTGCCAAGACTCTCTATGGCCTCTTCTGCGGAAGTGAAGAACGCCGGCTCCACATGGAAAGCGAAAGGCGCCCCCTGGCCAGCGACGAGACTGCTCTTCGACACCTTGACCACGTTGCTGCCAGTCAACTGTCCAGCAGATGAGTCCCATGCATCCATTAGCATTTGGCGACAAGCATTGCCAGTCTTTGAGGATGTCCTCCTTCGATGTGTCGTAGACGATGCTTCGGAGCAGCCATTGAAGGGAGCGGCTGAAGCGTTGCAGCGAGCGGCCATCCATGCTCCAGTTCTCCTGGCTGAGGTGTTGCAGTTGCTTACGCGGGGTGTGCAAGAACGAGATTTCTCAGAAGTTCTGCTTGTGGCCCTTCAAGAAATTGTCGTGGCAGTTCCTTGTCCACCTGTCGACCCATCGAAGGCAGCAGAGCTTTTAGCTACTGCCATTGGCAGTGCAACAGAACAAGTACTTCGCCAATCGCAGGCAACAGAGATCCCTGATATTCTTGCTGCTCAGTATGGGCTCCTGTCACAGGCTGTTCGGCCATCCTCACCTGGAACTGCTGGACAGGGACCATGTGAGGATAAGCTGCGCCCAATCTTGCTGAATCAGCGTGTGCTCATTGCTCGCTGCTTGTCCTTGGTCTCACTTGTCCTTCCAGACTGTCTACATCAGGCAGTCTCAACCAACATGTTGCGCTTCGCTACGCATCTCATGAGCAATGAGGAAGCGGAGCCTGAGGCACATGCGGCAATGCTTAAAACTGCTTTGCCTGCGATATGTGCAGCTGTTTGCAGGGCCCTGGCGATACAAGACTTCTTTGCGGAACCAGAGGCTCTGGCAGAGGCAGGCAAGCTCTTCTTGGCCGCAGCCTCCGTCCTACCTTCGCAGCTCCCAGAAGCACTTTCAGCTGGGGTCAGTCAACTGGACTTGTCGGATCACAGCAAGATGCTTCTAGAGCAGCATGTACAGGCACGGGCAGAGTGGAGCCAGAGTCAATGGCTGGAGCAACTGCAACAGATCGTGGTGGAATGGCACAGCGAGCGCCGCTTGACGGTGCTGTGATGCTTTTGGAAGACAAAAGAATTGCACCTGTCCGATGCGACTCTGTTTTGAACAACGCACATGAATCGATTTCCAATCAACAGCAAGTCACTTTGACGTGACAGTCCTTTCTTCCTGCCGCAAATTCAACGCTGCTTGATACAATGCGAGGATATCATTGCCTATCTTGAACGACTTGCGCCGTCAGGGGATGCAGCCCTCTTAGAACTTACGACTATCAGCGTCTTCTTGATTTTTCCACGGAGTAGCCTGTCTGTCTTCCATGGAGTGGCCAAGGCCTACAAACACAATGACCTTCACTTGCGGCCAGCGTCAGAGAAGGATAGACAGGCGATTGAGCGGAACTGGATGTCACAGGCAGGAGAGCCATTTACGCTTCCTCACGTTTTATGCTAACACTGTTTCACTTGTTAGGCTTCTAGCTACTAGATGCTACTAGTAGTAATGCCAGGAGCTACTAGTAGCTTCTTGTTACTAGTAGTAAGACGGTTTGTTACTTAGTACCTTCTAGCTACTGTTAACTGTTAACACGAGTCGTGGACACACAGACACGACATGAACGACTTTCGGATGACACGCCCAGGGCAAAGGTACCCTGGAGGAGTTTATGGCTCAGGACGGAAAGCAGAACGATATTTTGTGAAACACGGAAGGCAAACAAACAAGATAAACGCATGAGGAGAAAGTTGAAGAGCCAAGAAAACACACATATTTCTTGCCTTTTTCAATTGGCGTGTGCTCGGCAGTGAAAGAGTATTTTTTCTTACAGCAGGAGCCTAAGAATGCACATTCACACCTCCTGGCGATGACACTCGGGCAGTCGGAGACCATTCCTGTTGTAGGCGCCACTCACGCAAGCATGATGTGGAATGTACTGACCAAACTGTGCATGGAATCTGCTTGGAAAAGATATGAGATAGTATAACCCCCCCATGACCCCATGTAAGAAATTAGTATTCGCATGTCCGTTTTTCTGGAAGCATGCTCAATCCCCTGTAAAACGATAAGGAAGAAAGAACGATAACCCGCGATGACTCTTGTGGAAAACCCTTGACATGCGAGACGTGGTGTGAAGAAAACCCGTGCACACACAAACAGAAAACCTACTACTGTTCCAAATTGGGAGGGCTTGGACGGCTGTAGCCTTGTGCTAAAGCATTTTGTGCCACATGGCTTTCCAACTTGCACCAGGCATGAAAGCGATAACAACACGATCTCAAAAAAACGATAACAGAGCGAACCTAAACACCTTTCCGTACGCAGGCCACCACATGGGCGTAGTTGGAATGAAGTGTGCCTAATGTCTTCATGCCTGCAAGGTTCCACACACCACATGCATGTAGAGCACACACTACATCATACTACATTTGTTGCAGTTAGTCAAAGTGCTGTAAAACGATAAGGAAGAAAACACACGATAACGTCAAAAGTGGTATAGGGGTATTTACACAACCTCATATGGCTATGTGCAATGGCTCAAATGTAAGACGCAGGAGCCAACAGGCTTTAGCTTTAGTAACCTTTTTCACTGTCAATATTGTTGAGCCATACAACTCCCATGTCTACGTATATGTCTACAAGTCTACAGCTAGGTTGAACGAGCTAGCAAATTGATTACCTGCACGGAAGCCTCACAACAATCTTTGGTGGGTGAACCTGTTCCCACTCCAGCTTTGTTGAATTCATTCAGTTCAGGCTAGCGAAAACGCAAGCACATGTTCTTGGACTGGTCTAAAATACAGTGAGAATTCAAGAGCATACACTTTGTGGCCTTACACATGACTTGGTGTTCTCCTGACTCGAAGAAGGGTTTTCCTGGACAAAAACACTCAGGAGAGGCTACGGCAGGGCACAGGACGCATGTAGCATGATGCAAAAGTAAAAGCATGACAATGTGAATGCAATTGCTCCAGAGCAAAGCCGCTAGGCAAAGCTTACGCAACCTGACACAATGGTGGCTAGCAACGGTTCTTTTCCTGTCTATAAGGCACAGCCAAAAGATTGGAACAAGAACAACCAGCAGCACAGTCGAACTGAGTTTCAATTTAGACTCTCCAATTCATTGTGTCACATGCTGTGCCATCGTAGGCCATTAAAACCTCATTTGCATAAACCAGCAGCCACAGCAACGAAATTCATTTTTAAACCACCCACTTTGAGTGTGACCCTCAAAACTGCTTGCAAGGTGCACCTCTTATGTACAAACCTCAACAGCGGTAGTCTCCTGACAGATCCTGCAACCAAATTAGTGTTCATTACTTCTGGCATGCTCTTCTCTGGACATATTTTGCCAAGGTAGCCAACAAGAGACACACCCTGACAAAGCCTTGGCATGTCAGAATTGGGAAAAAGCTCTCAGCAACCTCGACTCGGTGCTCAGTTTTCCAAGACTATATATAAACTGTTCTCTGGCTCCCAAGCCCTCAAATAACACAAAACATGGTTGGTGCTTGTGGGCTTAAAGCCAGGAGGTGAGCTGGCCTTGGGCCAATGGCAGTTTGGCACTGAGCCGAAACTGCTGGTCTTTGGAGAAGTGATTTGCCAGGCACAACTAAAGACAGAGTGGCATTTGCTCAGATCATTATTTCCGGATTCAATCTAGATCGTGCTTCGAGGTCCATCCTCATGATCGATCTGGATGGCCCTAGAACTCGCACAGTGGCGGTGCAGGTGATGGGATAAAAAGTTGTGATGACTTCAGTGGCAGACTTCTGATGACATCAGACCTTCTTGAATCCTTGCTCAGGGCTTCTGCCGATGATTGGGGGGCGCTGCTTTTTCTTGATGAAACAAAGTAGTGTAAGGCTTTTACTGAAAGCGGTGCGCTAGCATGATCAGACTTGCGTCCTGGCCCGCAGCCAAATTCGCAAGGTTCAAGAGGTAATGATCTCACATCCGTCACATTTCAAACATGGTCTGTGGTTTCAACTTGGAACTAGTAACTAGCCCACACAAGCCCGAACAAAATTTTTATTGGCAGATGCATTTTGAATGTAGTGACCGGTTTTGGAGGGCGAATGTGGCACAAAAAGAAAAGCAACGGCGAACGCAATCGGAGTAAGTGTAGAGAAAACCTTGCAAGCTTGACAGACACAGAACACCTTGTATTAAACAGGTATAGCAAGCCGTAAGTCCTCCTGCCTTGGCATCATTGCCGACGAGTGGAGGCCAAGACTCCTCCTTTGCATACCAATTTACAATTACGTTGGTTTAAAGTCTTTAAGTCCAAACTGCAAGAGCATGAGAGGTTATGGAGCCAATGCAAGCTTTCTTTACGAACTTGGCCATCGGAGCAGTGCTGCACTTACGGTGTGTGTTTATCGGATATCGCCATGCTTCATTCTTGTCGATGGAACACCCTAACGTTGGAGTTTTGTTGCAGAAACATTGATGTAGAGGAGGGCAAGAGAACATCGCATCCAGCGCAGGTAGTGGTTCCTAGTTTGCTGCTGTCAGCTTCTCAGTGATGCAGTAGCTTTAATTTAAGGGCTGCCGCCCCTGCCGCCGACCCCGATTCTCAGGTCCGGCTTTTCCTCCATTGGTTGGCAACACGTCACTAGCAACTCTGTAAAGATGGCCGACAGAAGACCGAGAGGAGCCTACATCACTCCACTTAGAACATCATCCTTGCAAACAACATGTTTCGGTCGATTTCATCAGCTCCAATGCCAAAATCGAATCAGACAATATGGTTAATAATACGACAGATAAGATGACATGACATGGTCTAGTTAGGATTTAGCAGGATCAGTTAAAACATTCCCGCGTTGAAGACAAACATCGATCGGCATGGCCGGCGAAGAGCTCCGAACACATGGTTCGCGGAGCTGGTAATTGGCCCCGAACACCTGGTCCCGCCACAGCTTTTCCCAATCTAATTCTA